CCCCACTAAAACATAATCAAACTACGCCAGGCCGGCCGCACGGAATAGATGGGCCTTCAGGGCTCAGCGAAAAAGGCGCAGGTCCGCAACTGTACGTAGGTCGGGGGGTAGGTCATTCCAGAGGGCAGGAGCTGCCACAGAGAAGGCTCTCCCCCTGGGGGTCGCCAGCTGGCATTGTCTGGCCGACGGCACCCTAAGGAGGCCCTCTCTGTGGGAGCGGACTGGTCGAAGGGAGGTGTTTGGTAGGAGGCGGTCTTGCAAATAACTAGGTCCATTGCCATGGAGCGCTTTAAAGGTTGTTACTAACACCTTGAAGTGCACCCGGAAGGCCACAGGCAGCCAGTGCAGCTCGCGCAGGAGAGGTGTTACATGGGAGTATCTAGAGGCCCCCAGGATCCCCCGCACGGCCGCATTCTGAACTAGCTGGAGCCTCCAGGTGCACCTCAAGGGGAGCCCCATGTAGAGAGCATTGCAATAGTCCAGGCGGGAAACAACGAGGGCTTGAGTGACCGTGCGTAGAGCGTCATGATCCAGAAAGGGGCGCAACTGGCGTATCAGGCGAACCTGATGAAAAGTCCCCCTGGCCACAGCTGTCATATGGTCGTCTAAAGACAGCCAAGTATCCAGGAGGACGCCCAAGTTGTGGGCCCTCTCCACGGGGGCTAATGACTCGCCCCCGATAGCCAGGGATGGAGCCAACTGGCTATGTCATGACGCCGGAAACAGCCACTCGGTCTTGGACGGGTTCTCTGTCAATAAATATAAAACAAGATTTTATAGCCTAAAGATTATAAAATATTGGTGAATATACCCATACTGACCTAGCTGATTAATTCCTTATGCAAGCAAAGTTCAAGTTCAAATTTTACAAAGAAGATATTTACACAGATTTCTACAAATAAGACAAGTTGGATTATTCTTTTTGTCTCTGATCATTCTTCTGAGGAACCTTTACAATGAACGAGAAGGTGTTGCATAAACCAAATTTGGAGAAAAAAATGGTTTTGATAGGGAAAAGAATGAGACAAGGATACCGATTGTTCCTGTCCAATAGAGGGTTAGTGTCTTAAATAGTAAATGTATGGAAAGATTAGCTATTCTCCTGTTTTGATTCCAGATAATAACTTAAGATGTGAGAACATTGTCAGCAGAGAGTGAGACAACTCTCACAATGAAAAAATGCATTATGAAAAATCTGGGTTAATATTATTAATGGTAAAGGATTTGATGTGATAATTTTGTTTCCTTGGGCTCAAGGATAGATAAACAAGGTCAGTTGCTGTAGAATAAAAAGCAGATTAATTCTAATGAGGAAGGCAGATATATTGTCATGAAGGATGAGGATAGTTCTACGACAGCAAAGATAAGAACAATTGCAAGTATACTCTTTCCAGTGGCAATACATAGCTATGAAAGCTGCTTTTGAAAAAGAGAGAGAAAGAAGACAATTGCCATCAAATTACACATCTGAAAATTATTGCTAAGAGGATCATGGATTTTAAGAAGAACTCCTCGATCCTTGCTGTCCCAAAATGAATTAAGAATACCATTTTATGTTTGGAGATAGATTTAGTTTCTGTAGAAGCTAGAGCTTGGCTTTTACTTGTCAACTTTTGACTAAAATTAATTTTCTTCCCTTTAAATCAGGCCCCTTTAGCCTGTAGGGACTGCTTTAAATCAATGCAGTTTAAGAAAGCTACTGATAATTCCATTTATTGAGTTTTTCAATTGAAAGCCTCTGCTTTTTAGGCTTTGAAAATGTCAGATGTGCTCTCAAGCCAGAGATATTATTATTACTAGTAATCTACAATTAGAGTCACAGTCTAAAACTGGTGTTAACTTAATAATTCAAGTCCCAACCAAGGACCTAATTTTTTTTAAGATAGTGCCTAAAGATATAGGTACTTCTAAGCAAGATGTGTTTTATTTTTGTTTTTGTTTTGTAAAATTAGGGTGTTCACATCAAATAAATTAAAAAAATCCAAATATTGAGGGAGTCCATTTGGTATTGCTCTGAGGACTCCAATCATGATTTGGATAAGAATAGATTTCTTTTTTCATAAGCATACAATATTATGGTTTGTCGCAGTCAGTCAGATGTTAAAATTTATTGGCTGCCTAATTCCAGGGAACATGGGTTTGCCAAACTGTGAGGTGTTCCCTCTATGTTGAGGTTCAAATAGGACCTGGGGAGGTATGAAGAATCTTTTAGTTACATTGTTATAATAAACCTATACTTCCCATCATTTCAGTGTGTTGTTTTTGTCTCATCATTGGATGATGGACTAGATCTATGTTGCCTATGTTTAGAAGTATGGGAGAACTAGAAAAATGGGAAGAAAAATAATAAAGTAAATAGATGGAATTAAAGAAATTATAGGCTTCTTTGGGAAGAACTTCACGATGTCGAACATTTGTCCATGCAGTTGTCAGGAATCAGAATGATTTACTGGTACTTAACTAACATGTTAATCATCTGACTGAATGTCTCCAGTTTAAGTCTTTTTATTCTGATTTTGTTTGGTGTGCAATTGGCTTGGAATTCAACATCTGCTACATTTTTTCTGTCTAACTGACTTTAATTCTTAATATTTGTTTTATGTAGTGATTCAGGAAGAACAATGAACATAAAAACATCCCTTCAGAATAAACTGTGGCTCAATCACCCTCTGTGCTTGAGTCCCAGAGCTAGATTGAATAGTTTCATCTGCATAGTTTTTGATGCTAAACTGGGACCTATGCAATTATTACTAATAACAGTATTAGTTTATTTTCCTGCCCTATGCAAAATAAGGAAATAATATCTCAGTCCTGTAACAGTTTAGTCCAGAAAGCTTTCTGATCAGGAATCCATAAAACTTCTGTTCAATTCAGTGGCTTAAAATATTAAGTAATAAGGTTGGTGTAGTGGTCAAGTCATCAGGCTAGAAATCAGGGAAACATGAGTTCTAGTCCCACCTTAGATACAAAGTCAACTGGTGATCTCGGGCCAGTCAGTTTCTTTCAGCTCTGGGTAGCAGCCAGTGGCAAACCACTCCCAAAATGTTGCTAAGAAAAATGCAGGGACATCTTCAACACTGACTTGAAAACACACACATACACACACAATAATATTTAAGGACTTCAAAAGGGAAGACAATAAGCTGCTTAAGTGTCAGCCTCTAACATTATTTGTATTCATAAGAATATCTCCAAGATCAAATAGATCACACACAGTAGGTGTTCCTAAAGAATCAAAATGACAAGGAGGTGCAACCTGGAGCTGTATCCATCTACCCAGAAAAAGAAAATGCCAATGAAATAGGGAATTGTAGGGTGCTCCAAATAAATAGAAGGGAATAGATCAGTGGTGGGATTCAAATATGTGAACAACCGGTTCTCTGTGTGGATGCCACTTCTGGAAGTCCATTCTGGGCCTGGGCAACAAAAAGTTAGCTACTGGTTCTGCCGAAGTGGTGTGAACTGGCTGAATCCCACCACTGGAATAGATGTTTTATATATAGCTATCTTGTATATAACTATCTTAACAGCCATCTTGTGATAGCTCTCGTTATATGTTCTCGGAATTCCAAATCTACCATTTCTACAAATAAGCTGATTAATTACAGGTAGTCCTCAACTTACCACAGTTCACTCAGTGACTGTTCAAACTTACAGTGGCATTGGAAAAAGTGACTTATGACCATTTTTCACACTTAACGACCATTGCGGCATCCCCATGGTCACGTGATGAAAATTCAGAAAACTTGGTTATTGTGGTTGCAGTGTCAAGGGGTCATGTGATCACCTTTGGTAACCATCTGGCAAGCAAAGTCAATGGGGAAGCCACACTCGCTCAACAACCACATTACTATCTTAACAACTGCAGCGATTCACTTAACAACTGTCACAAGAAAGGTCGTAAAATAGGGCAAACAAATGTCTCACTTAGCAACAGAAATTTTGGGCTCAATTGTGGTTGTACGTTGTGGGCTACCTGTGCATTAATTCTGGAATCCAGGCTGAAATCAGTGGTGGGGATCCTTGTGTCCCCAGATGTTTCCAGCAACAATCCTCACAATCCCTCCTCATTGGCCACTTTAATTGCATCTGATTGGAATTGGATTTCTGAACTTCTAAAGGGCACCAGGTTGCCTATTCCAATTTCTGTTTGCTACTCTTATCCTTTGTAATAGAATACTTTAGAAATAAAAGCAAGCTGTAGTTGCCACCAAAAGTAGTCATAAAAATAAAAAAATTTAAAGCAGTGGAATATTAGCTTTAGATGTGATTGTACTTTTAACTATTTAATTCTGCATGAAGCTATAAGGATAGGGTAAATATTTTATTTTGGGGCAGAGGGAAGAAATAACCTTTAGCATAAACAAAATGAGAGAAAGTTTGCCTTTAAAATGTTAGGTAATTGTTCAATCACCATCTGCTATCAATTTCTTTCTGCAAATATTTGATCAAAGCCAGAAATATGCAGAAGGTGTACACATTGTTTCTTGACATAAAGCAAACATGGAAGCAGGCTCTAGAAGATCCAGAGGATGCATCTTTTTGGACAGAAAAAAAACCTCTCTCTCTTAAGATCCATTTTGCTTTGGGCATGAATTGTGAATAAAATTGTGCTTCATAGTCCCTGGAATGTACTGTATATGGGTTGCCTGCATAGGCAATTTGAAACTTTGGCTGTTTATGAAACATGGAGATAAAAAATCCACCATGTGAACTGCCATTAACTTTGATGAAAAAACTGCAAAACCATAGCAGTTTTTTTTTCTTATTTATCCTTATTTTATGTAACGGATGTTGAACCTCTGTCAGCCAGAGACCACATTGCTCTTTCAATACCACATTGGAGTCTACATTTTAAAATAAATCAGTTCAAGTCTCAAGGAAGTGTTCTAGTGAAAAATGTTAAAACAATATAAAACTACAGATTTTACATCCCCTTGGATCTGCACTATGTTACAGAAAGATTTGATAATGTCCCTTTGGAAGAGGCAGTGTAACCTCTTTCCCCGTCCTTCATACTTACCCTTGTTTTCCTCTGATGACACTGCATAGATGTTCTTTCTACAATTGATAATGCAGCCACAAGGCAGGTGACTCCAGTGCTCTGACAAGACAAACATCGGAGTGACAGTGACAGCTAGCAAAGTTAGCAGGAAGCTGAATATCTCAAAGGAAAGATTTTGAAACCCAACAGTGTATTGAACAACCATTTGTATCTGAAAGAGAGAGGTATTCCAGAGAAATTAAGCAACAGACAGTTGGCTTGAATTAGAAGCGATCACATTTTAAGATCCACATATTAAGATCCCTCTTCTAAATCCTTCCTACATAGGCTTCTGCAGACTTGAATATTGGCATCTTAGAAAACAAAGACATGATCCAGATAGGTGTACAGAACTTTTCTAAACCTGCTATTCACAAATAAATGCCACTGAGTTCAACAGAGCTTTTATTTAGCATTGCAAAGCATGTGTGCCATATGTTGCAATCCTATACAAGTAATACAAGTGAGCCTATTCCTCTCAACAACCTCATTTACTTGGGAATCCACATAATATGACAGACAAAACCAAAGCCCAAAGTAGCCAAACACAAAAATTGCACACACAGTATCATCACACTCGCCAAACATATTTATGAGCACACATCCCTTCTCTGCTCTTGGTAAGGCTAAGACTCAGATTTGGATGGCCCATAGTCCATTAGGTCCTGCTGCCTATCAAAAGACATCCAAAGCCATTTGCTCTCTGAAATACAGCAGATAAACATTCCTGGCCTCCTGGAATTTGTCTGAACTGTGCTTCGCATGTCTTTGAATCTTGACAGATGTCAAAAAGGAACTGTTCTAACACAAGTCCCATCTGTGTCTCTCAGAAATGTCAGTTGCTTCAAGTGAAATAATAAATATTGATGCCTGTTCTGTAGCAGAGAAGTAGCCTCAACCCTGAGCTATTAATAAAGGGCCATTTGAATTATTACAGGGAGGTGGAGAGGCACCCTTGAGAAGATCATGTGGATAGATGATTTGCACAGTGCTTTCAGTATGCAGAGCTTCATAAATAAAGAAGCAAGTCCTTGCCCCATGGATCTTACAATTTAAATCTCATCAGTAAGGGCAAAGGGAGGACTGCTAGAGGAGATTGCAAGGGAAGAATGTCAGTGAACACAGCTCTGACTACTGGAATGGCAAATATGTGTTTCTTCTGAAATAAATTCTTGGGTGTCTAATAGGGCTTATTTCCAGGAAAGAGTACACAAGGTCTTTAGTCTTAAACCAAATTGATGGTAAAAAATAAAGTTCATCAGTTAATGTGCGATTAGAAAAGGGCTCTGAAAAAATAACAGATTTCAAATTATTGCTCCCTATGTGCCAGGCAAAAATGGGATTCACAAATGCAATAGGGCACTTGAATAGGGTGTAAGAGATACATGACAAAAAAACAACAACACCCAACCCCCGATTGCCCTATCTGCAGTCTACTACCACAAACATCAAGGCAGTTCTCAGTAATTCTTTTTTCTTTTTAAAGGAAATAGAAAATAATGAAATTATTCCAGTGATTTGTGAATACTTCTGAATTACAGAACTATAGGCAATTCACCACTAAAAGGTGTGCCTTGCAGCTAATAAACAAAGCAAGGAATTTTTGGCAGATGCCAAAACAGATAACCTAAAGCCAACTGAACTGCATGAAGCATAAGAGCTTGGCCTATTCCATCTAGTTTTTTTCCCCTTAGAATCATTCAACAAGATATATTTGCAGAACACGTATGCTAGCATAAAATTAGAGCCATAAAGTCATTGTCTGTAGTTTTTCATGTATCTGACTATTACAAACCATTTCCACATTTGGCAAAACAAATCTCACTCATCTGAAAACTAATTAAAACCTTACTCTTTTCTTAAAAATACACCAATATATGTGCATTTTGAGTTCCTGATCATTAAATAAACCAGTATTAGAAATATACAGTACATCCAGTTGAAACTAAAATAATGTACCCAACTGTTTGAATAGATAAGGAATACTTTAAACAGCAGCCAAACTGATAGTCCAACAGAATACAAAAATACAAAGCAAATGACACAGTAACTATTTTTTTTAAAAAAAATCTTGATTAACCAATGTTTTAAACACAACATGCAAGTTTTCAAGTTGGATACAAGTCGTAGCTTAATTTACTCTGTTCTGCTGCTCCCCACTTCCAAATATCATTAGATATTGCTTAACTAAAACCTTAGATATAAGGAAAAGAAACGTGGACAAGTTTTTTTTTTTTTTACCATCATTGGGAGCCAAAGAATGATTTTGGTCAGAGCCAGAATTAGCGAGAAGCGTTTCTGAGCAAATTCCACAGTGCTGTTCCGGTTGTTAGGTGGCACATTTCGTGTGCCATAGTGGTCCAAGTGACAGTGGTCAGCTGGACTTTGTCTGATAACTGGGTCAGAGTTCTGACAGTGCTTCTGGGTTTTATTCATAGTGTCTTCTGTAGGGAGAGAAGATTTGTGACTCTCAAATGGAAGTACTCCAGAAGAAAAATGGTCTCCAGTGACTTGATGATAATCATCATAAAAGTGCTGCTGCTCATCTGAACACAGTAATTGATAAATAAGAGGAATGGAGAGTATAATTAGGAGACAGAAACACAATGAGTAGATTATAAAGAGAAACAAGGTATATGAACTGGAACAGTCAGCAAAGCATCCCCAGGAGGTGGGAGCATAGGTGCCCCAGCCACATAAAGGCAAAATACAAATCAACAGACAGACAATCCAGATAGTAAGAACAGCCCATAACATGCTCACTGGCCTCTTGGTGGCCCCTTGGCTCTCTCCCATTTTGTTGAGGCTGTAGAAGTTATAGGAAACTACAAGGGACCCCATCAAGTTGCTGGAAAAGCCCTGAAATAAGTACAGGAGCGCTGAAGTGGTACACACAGTCTGGGGAAGCATTTCATTCAACCAAGGCTTGAGCATAAAAATTGTTGCTGGTACCACACTAATCAGATCATCCACACTTAGCGAAGTTGCAAGCATTGAAACAGTACTTTTGTTCTGCATTCTCAGTAGGGAAACTAATGAATAGATGCTACCCAGCAGGGTTAGGAATGTGATGAGAAAAGTCAAGCAAAAAATGAAAAGATTCAAAGATTTTTGGTCTTTGGGTATATCCATCATTCCCTGGTTTGGGGAGCTTGTCCCATTTAATGAAACATTAGTATGGGTGACTGACATTGTTGCCAGGATGGTTGGGATAGCTGGGGTTGATGTTACTTTACCTTCTCACAGATTCTTTGAGTTCTCATCCGAAGAAAACATTGTTAGCTCCACCGTAGATTCCTCATCTTCTCTACCAAGTTTATTCCTGGACTGTAAAGATTTTTTCCCCTTTCTGAATGCCTGCTTAGGATGCTCCCAAGTAATGCCCAGCTCACACTGTTAAAAGAAGCATTAATGTTAAGTCCCAAGGAGCAAAAAATTCCAGCCAAGAAAATAAACCACAATAATTTCTCCTTTCCTCAGTTCTTTGTCAGTCCTTTATAATCCTCAGAAGTGATCAAGTTTAGCCTTAAAGTAAAAAGCCGATGTCAAAAACGTGCTGTAAGGGAAAGCAAGCAGAATATCAGTCTCACACTGCCGGCTTAGGAGAAACTATAGCAAAGGGGAGGGAGGAAAAGAACCACCAGAAGCTCTTTGGTTCAGTCTGCACAATTCATAGCTGCAGGAGGGAGGAGTCAGATATAAGCAGGATAGCAGAAGAGAGTGGAAGAAGGATATCTAAAAGCAGAGCTGCTCTCGGATCACAAGCAAGGAAGACTCTTTGCAAAGCCACACCTTCAGCACTGATGCACAGAGCCAACGCAAACACCAATCCAGCAATAAATGTCAACTCTTCCTTCCAGCCCCAGAACTACTACACAGCTGTTGAGCTTGGGAAACACAGTAGAGGAAATCCAAGTGCAACAACTTTCAGAAGGGCTCTGAGCTCAAAGCCAAAGCATTCATGGGGTTTAGGGTCCTCAGATTGTACATTCCTGTGCTAGAATTTGAAAAATAAAATAATTGTGGTTGATGTCAACATTATTTTTAATTCATTACAACAGGTTCTTAAATCAGAACTGCCTGAAATCTTAAATCAGGCAAATCATCTGTTGAGTGGGTGACACCTGGCCTCTTTGACCCTCTAAAGCTGCTTCTGTTGCTGCCTCTTGTCATAAAGGGGGAAAGGAGGTAAATGAAGATGGCTTGGGGATGATTTGGCACAGATGGCTTAGGAACGTCTCCAATTTGGCACTCTTCATCTATTTTGGAATTGCAGATTCCATCATTCCTACATTGGCTTCACATTCGCAGTGCTGTCTTTCTGCATTCAACACATCAGTAGCCATCTCATTACAATAGGTTCTGGGTACCGTTTCTTGCTCACAAGCTGCTTCTGCTCTCAAGCTTGGGGTAGCTATGCCTGAAAAACTTGATTAATAATACATCATATTGAATTTCATCTTACTCTGCTCCAGTCATATTTCGTCAGGGAGTTTTCACAATCTTTATCAGTCTCAGCCTCTAACCCTGAATTAGAATTAGAATTAGAATTAGAATTCTAACCTCTGGAATTCAGCTCAATGCTGTGTTGGAAAGAGAGGGCAAGAAAAATGGAAATGATCCAGGCTGAAATACTTGAAAAGTATCTGAAGAGTTCTTTTTTCTCATTTCCACAATCCTCACATTCTTAAACTTTTTTTTTATTATATGCTAAGCAGACCCTGACAGAAGAGAATTGAATTGGCACTCAAGGGTATATAGATTGTATTCTAAACACCATGGTCCAATCTCATACTACAGTACCATGCCCAGAAAGATTTAGGAAGTAAATTGCTACTCGAAGACCAAAATACTGTTTTCAGAAAAATGAATTATGTATTTAGATTTCTGTTCACTATAAAGCCTGAAGGGAGTGGTATATTTTATGACAGGGTGTTCCAAGAGTTGTATTGGGCTGTTTATTTTCTCAATCAGTAGTACCAATGTAGGCTATTCGGGATACTTTATGGACTGTAGTTCTTGCCTGAAGATCTTTCTACTCACCAGTTCATGAGAGACATACTAAATGAAATATTAAAATTCAAATCAATTCCTCAGTCTGAACAATTCATTTCACACCCTGTAGACTCTGATAGCCAGGCTTTGCTCTTAGGTAAGCTGAAGCAGTTGCTTCAGTTTGAAGATGTTATGAATGGGAATCCATTATTAATTTTCTTAACTTATTCCTGTGGTGGAAGGGAGAGAGGTTATTATTCCAATTGGATAATATTGTGAAAAGCAATTCTCACTTCTAAACAAAATGTAAATGTATGATTTATAGCTAGTACAAAGAATACATGTGGTATGAGAAAACTCTGTGAATTGGCTTGCTTGGAAATATGCATGAATATGAGGAAGGAAAGTATGTTTAAATTCTTCTGTGGCTGGATTTCAAGGTACCTGTGGTAATAGACCTAACATGGCTTACTGTATTTTGCTCCCCGATAAAGGAAAAGTAACCACCATAAGCAAGGGTATAGATATGCAAACAATGTATCCATAATTGCTATGTGTAGATAAAAAATTAGAAATGTTGACATTTATTTATTTTTATCTTGCCTTTATTATTTATACAAATAACTCAAGGCAGTAAAAATATCATCTAACATACCTTTCTCCTTCAATTTTCCTCATAACAACCCTGTGAGTGAGTTGGGCTGAGAGAGAGTGACTGGCCCAAGGTCACCCAGTTAGTTTTCATGGCGGAGACAGGACTTGAATTCATGGTCTCCTACTTTCTAGGCTGGAGTCTTAAACACTAAACTGGCTCTCATTTAAACGGTCATATAGTATATTTTGATACAGTGGGAAAAACTGGTGAAGCCAGTTTTTGCATTTTCTTACCCAGGGGCTAATTTTGAATGGACAGCATCAAGACATTTGCTTTCACCTCTTATGAACCTTTATTTTTAACAGGGTCAGTCCTTCATGTACAGGATGCTTTCAAATAAAGAGGTATCCAGAAGATTGTTTAATCTAGATTTTTTTAAAAAAAAAACACGAAACACAGTCAGCCTATGTAGCTGGGTAAGCCTTTGCTGGATTCAGTAGATTATGTTTTACTCTACTAGTTTTCACTAAATCAAGGATATGTATGATCCTGTCACTAGATAAATACAGTGTTGGAAAAGAAGTGCCACTGCATCACCTTAAGAATCTTAATTATAAGAGATATTTGTTTTATTAGATTATTTGTTTTTTTTTTACTTTTCAAAAAATCTAACACAAATACTCACAAGCTTATCAAATGTGAATAAGCCTGAATTTATTTTTTGTTACCTAAGATTAAGTCTTATTTGGTACAATGACACTTAACTTCTAAGTGGACAAGTATGAGATTGGGCTGTAAAAAATGAACAAGACAAAAACTTGCATTTGCTAAGCTTGGAATTTGTAAATTGTATCTGGGAAGAATAGAAGGAAGGAAGGAAGGAAGGAAGGAAGGAAGGAAGGAAGGAAGGAAGGAAGGAATCCTTCTGAAATAATTATGAATATTTTACAATTGGGACATCACCACCTCTAGAAGCCAACTCTCTGTAGCTATTGAATACATCTTAGTTTAGCATCTTTAAGGTTGCAATCCAATAGACAATTTCTTCAGATAAGAAAACTTTTTTAAACCACCTAACATACAATTGCACTGTGATAGGCAGCCACTGAAGAATTGTTTGCATAGTATCATTATGGGAAGAGTAAATTTCTCATGGTTTTTTCATTGACCTATGAATTTCTTTTTTTCTCAGTTTGCTTCCTGAACTCTAGTTTAATAGGAAAGATTCTAGAATTAATTTTAGACTTGAAGCACAAGAGGAAGAGCTGCAACCAAGGCTACAGTCAGATGGGCAGGGCTTGAGCCTGGTCCAAGAAACTGATTTGAGAAAATCACTCAAACAGGATAAAATAAAGGAGGGGGGGATATCTTATCTTCCATTTTGATGGTCTACTTTATAATATGGCATAAATATCTGTGGTAGTCCCAGTGTTTATCAGCACAATGGGTGCCAAACCTAGGTTTCTAAATTTGATAAATAAATAAATAAGCAAACAAATAAATGAATAAATATTCTCACTTTTTGGATGTATTCTTTACTAAAGACAAAACGGAACAGTGGAAATGTCCTCAAAGTCATCAATACCTGGACCATGCCTCTCTGATACCATACACTGCTGGAATTATTAAGTAGACAAGCTGAACTGGCAGTTTGGGTCAAATAACAAGAAAACTGATAACAATGCAGTATGCCTTACCTGCCTGTAGTGATATTGATAGATTATACCTCCCCCACAGATATTTACTTCAAATCCAAACTGTTGAAGAAGAAAAATGTGCACTGTATGCTGTAACAATGGCTGGTTTATTGGCCAGAAGCTGTGAATACTCCAACACTGGAAGTTTTTAAGAAGAGACTGGACAGCCATTTGTTTGAAATAGTATAGGGTTTCCTGCCTGAGCAGGGGGTTGGACTAGATGACCTCCAAGGTCCCTTCCAACTTGTTGTTGTTGTTGTTGTTGTTGTTATTGTCATTGTCATTGTTATTGTTATCTTGACCTGCCTGGATCTGTAAGTCCACAGGCCCTTAGCCCTGTTCTTCTTTATAACATTCTGTGGAATCTCCCATTTTGAATTGGGAGGATTTCGCAATGTCAGCCGACTAAGCTGGCATTTTATTATAAATACCATGCACTTGCCATGGCACTTCCTCTGTTTGATCTTCCTCTCATGTCTGCTGCTATCGCAGGCATTCTTTTAGCATCTCAGCTTTGGGTGCCATTTTACTGAAGTTCTCAAGTTTCCCAGGCAAATGGCTTTGATATTCACCAGACCCTGCCTGTCCTCTTTCCAGCTGGTGTACCATCTCGGTGTGTTGGACTTGGGATGGAAATCTCCATACATTGTGAGGAGCTTCTAGCAGGTTCTCTTGTCTCATCTATACTGTATATGGTTTTTTCCAGTAGCTCATTTATCATCAGATTGTCCTGGTTCACAACATGAGGTATGGACCTTATTAATCTGGGCGTTACTGTATCTGAGCTGGAATCATCATGATTCTCTTAATTCAATCACTTTCATATCTGATTTTGGCAGGTGAAGTGTTAGAGAAGATATATACACATACAAACACACACAAACACACACACACACACACACACACTGAACTCCAAAATTAAAACAGTAATTCAGTTCAGAAGCATTCTAATTCATGTCAAGTCCTGGATTTTAATTATTTTAGCACAAAAAGCCCAGAATGTATTTAGGTTAATTAAGCATGCAGAATAACTCCAGATTTTTAGAATGACGCAATCAGTTTATTTAGAAAAGCAAAACAAAAGAAAGGCAGTAAATGGAATTGAG